GGAGGTGTGGTCACAGTGCAGTCATTTCTCCATCCTGTTGGGATTTGGGGCACATATCCAAAATATACACGCGTTCCACATGTTTTTCAAGTCACCAGGGCCATGACCCAAACCGCATAGCTGGCCATGTGAGATCTGGCTCTCTTAACCATTAGACTGCCTGTTTTTTAAGACCCCAAAACACCATCTATTGGTTTTGACTGTTAGCCTGTCCCTGAACCATGCCTTAATTCAGTCCATTTCCATAGGCTTTCTCAACATAATAGCAATTTTAAGTGAATACTGGATCCTTGGTGGTTTTCTTAGGTAAGATCTTCGGTAAAGGATAGATAGTTCATTTAGGATTTTGGGAAGTAACCTAGAGCGGAATAAAAGGAATGTAGGTAGATGATGATGCTAAAGCATGATAGTGTCAAATGCATAGCGTAGGTAGCAAAGGTTTCAGATAGTTTGAGTGGTGGCCTTTGTGAGAAAATCTTCAAGGATGTTATTTTCAAGTCAGAGTTTCATTTTAAGACCTAAGCATACCATTCCAAAAAGGCTAGCTAGCCATTACGTATTTGACTCTTTTTCCTTCTCTTTTCCAGAGCTGTTTTTAAGATGTATTATTTTTAACATGTCTAAAATTTCTCATAATTGCTGAGATAATTGTATATTATCCTTGGAGAAAGTATGCCATATAGTCTAGTAAACTCAGTAATTTAGGATTATGTTAAGAATGCATAAAGGAGGGACCAGCAGTTGGCAAAATGGCTATGTCGCTGGACTCCCATGTAGCCAACCACGGTTCGAGTCCCGAATCCGATGACTTAAACTCATGCTGGGTGTGTGTGCGCGTGCGTTCCTGAGATCCTGAGAGGAGAATGGAGGAGAAGGGACTGTAGTGTGGCCATCCCCCCATCCCCCTGGGGGGTAATTTCTCGCTTTCTGTCTCTCTTTTTTTTGTTTGTTTTTTTCCTCTCTCTCTGTGTTTCTGGTGAGCATACGTGCCCTATTACAAAAACCTCTCCCCCCAAAATTAAAAAAGAATGCATAAAGGAGGCAGGAGTTCTGCCTGGGGAAGTTTGCAGCTTTCACTTTGATTCCCAAAAGAGAGAGGGTCACTACAGCAGGTGTCTCATGATGCTTATAAAATGGTGGCTAGGGCCCATGAATGATTAATCAGACTGTATGGTTGCTAGTCTTTTAACCTTCAGGCCCAAAACACAGAAAAGAAGGACAGATTGGGTCTTCAGAGAGATGTGGGATATTCTGTTTCACTAACTGTCTATCTCAGTGGTTCATAAACAAGCAGAACTGTTTGTATAGCAACTCTACTTTTCTAACTCAGACCTCTCTTTTTGTGTTCTCAGTCTCATCAAAATATAGTTGCTTTCTCAGAAACATATTTGACCCTTCTTCTCTTCTCTTTATTTCGCCAGAGGGTGCCTGTACTGTGGAGAGAGACCTCCCAGTAGGGCATGGTCAAGCCTCAGTTTCTTGTCTTCCATCTCCCCCTCCTTTAGGGATTTTGGACACACACGCACACATACCTGGCATATGGTTCTCAAGCTGCCAGGTCTGGTACTCAAACCATGCAGTAGACTATGTGGGACCTGGCTGCCTGAACCACAATGCCACAGGCTGGCCCGACCCTCCTTAACACCAGTGCCCTGTGTGTCTTACTGGTCTAATTCTGTCTCTGTGCTTAATTGCTTCAATTCAGGTAGTTAATGTTACTCAAGTTTTTGCAGTAGCTTCCTTGCTGATTTTACTCTCATCCCCTGTGTTCTTCACCTTCTGCAATACTGCTTCAGTTTCTGTGAAAATATTTGATTTCTATTTAAAAATGTCATACTTGTGTTTGAAATTCCCAATATCTTCCAAACACAAGCATATCTGGTTTTCATACCTCTGTCTCTTTATATATGCTACTGTTTTGCCTAGCATAGTCTTTCTTTTTATTCTAATCCTACTGTGGCAACCCCTTACTTTTTTTTCGGGGGTGGGGGAGGTTTTTGCTATAGGGCACATGCACTTGCCAGAAAGACAGAGAGAGACAGAGAGACAGAAAGTGAGAAATCACACACCCCCCGGGGGGGGGGGATGGCCACGCTGCAATCCCTTCTCCCTTATTCTCCTCTTGTGATCCTAGGCATGCACGCACCCATTCTCCTTTCGGAATCCTGGGCATGCACGCACACACGCCTGGTGTGAGTTTAAGCCACCGGGTCTGGGACTTGAACTACGGTAACTACATGGAAGTCCAGCGACAGCCATTATGCCAACTGCAACCCCTTACTTTTTAAAGACTTGTTATCTCTGCTAAATCATTCTCTGCTCCTTCCCTATAATTTTGTACTGTTTTATCCATGCTCTTGTTTAGACTATCTTGTCAGGTTATAGTTTATCTATTTACATATATCTCTTTATAGGCCATGAATTCTGAGACAAAGACCCTGGGGCAGTACTGCTTGGCTAATTATATATCAGATACCTACTTAACATTTGGAAGACTGGGGTGGGCAGATGGAGGGGTGGTTAGGGGCTCTGGACTCCCATATGGCTGACCATGGTTCGAATCTTTGACGTGGCGGCTTGCTTTTTCACTTTCCCTCCCCCCGCCCTCTCTCTCTCTGTCTCTCTCTGGTCAAATTAAAATAAATAAATAAAGTTAAATAATTCTTTAAAAAAATATTTGGAAGACTGGAGCCCCTTTTCAAACTATGCCTCAGAGAAGTTAGTTTTGTATCTATGACCATCTTCCCCATCCCATCCTCCTACTCAAAGACAAACAGCCAAATTGGCTTATATTGTTTGGTTTACATGTAACAGAAGGGAAGGCAGAATTATTAGTAAGTCAAGGTGATGAGGAGACCTTGAATCATAACAGATGGGGGAGGAACAAGGAATTTTTGGCAAGAGGAAAGACAAGTGAAATATGATGCCATTCTCCAAATAGTTGAGACTGTCCTGTGAAAAACTGATTAGAATTGTTGTTTGACACCAGATGAGTTTTATGATGAATAGGTAGCAGTATTGAACAGCACTAGGAAGACTTGCTTTCTGAATGGACAGAATAGGTAGGGAGTTTTTCACGTGTGGATCTGTGAAAGTACAGGCACAGTGGGGACCAGCAGTTAGCGTAATGGCTATGTCGCGGGACTCCCATGTAGTTGACCATGGTTCGAGTCCCAGACCTGGTGGCTTAAACTCACGCTGAGCGTGTGTGCGTTCATGCCCAAGATCCCGAGAGGAGAATGGAGGAGAAGGGATTGCGGCGTGGCCATCCTCCCTGGGGGGTGATTTCTCGCTTTCTGTCTCTCTGTCTCTCTCTGTTTGGTGAGTGCATGTGCCCTATAGCAAAAACCTCTCAAAAAAAAAAAAAAAAAAAAAGTACAGGCACAGTGACCAGAGGCTTAAAGTGCTTTAGAGTGTGGGAGCCAGCAGGCGGCATGGCGGTTAAAGGTGCTGGGCTCCCACATGGTTTGAATCCTGGACCTGGTGGTTTACTTTCTCTCTTTCTCTAATGAGTGCATATGCCATATAGCAAAAATTTTAAATGATGGTAATGATGAATAAAATGAAATAATTCTTTAAAAAATATAAAGTGCTATTGATGGAGTCAGCAGGTGGTATGGTGGTCAAGGTGATGGAATCCCACATAGCCAACTACAGTTTGAATCTCCGGCCTAGCGGCTCATTTCCCCCCACCACCTCCTTCCTTTCTCTTTCTAGGGCGAGCACATGGGCCTTATAACAAATTACAAAATAATAATAATGCTATGTAAAGTTAGGTTTGTTTTTTTTTTAAGTGCTATAGAGTAGGTTTTGTGTCTTGGGCAAAGTTGGACTAGATTTAAGTAATGCTTTTTTTTTTTTTTTTTAAGAACTATTTATCTTTTTATTTATTTTAATTCGGGCAGAGTGAGAGAAAGAGGGAAAGTGAGAAAGCAAGCTGCCAGATCCGGGACTCAAACTGCAGTCAGCCATGTGAGAGTCCAGCACCCTTAAGTACCACACTGCGTTCCAGCTCCACATTTCTGTTGCTTATAAATTACCCAGTCTAAAGTATTTCATTGTAGCAGACTGAACGAATTAAGATAGGAAATCAGTCTCAAACTGATTTTGGAAAATAATTATTCTTATGAATAAAAACAGAAGGGCTAACAGGTGGCGTGGTGGTTAAGGTACCAGACTCCTACATGAGTAACCACAGGTTAAGCCCCATACATGACCGCTTGCTTTCTCACCTTCTCTGTCTGTCTGGTCAAATTAGGATATAATAATAATAAATAAAATTAAATAATTATTTTAGAAAAAGAATAAAAACAGAAATTATATACTGTGACGAAGAGTGACAGTTTCCTGACTGACTTCTAAGTTCCATGACTATGAATTTCAGGAATGCACTGTTTTGGATGAAGCCAAATCTATACATTTAGTAATAATTAAGCACATTTGATCACGTTAAGCACTTTGTGTATGCCAACTGTTGGACATTGAGAGAGGTCAGGCTTCTACTGTCAAGTAGTTTCTATTTATAAATGGAAAGATTCTTAAGCTTCTTTTTAAGAATAAGAATAATTCCCCCGAATCAGCTTTTAGAGTTATTTCCTTAGTACATTCAGTCTGCTATAATGAAATACTTTAGACGGGGTAATTTATAAACAGCAGAAATTTATTTATAGCTCACAGTTCTGGAGGCTGAGAAGTCCAAGACGAAGGTACCAGCAGATTTGGTGTCTGGTGAGGGTGTGTTCCTCATAGATAATATCTTCTGTGTGTCCTCACATGACAGGACAGCAGAAAGACTCCCTCAAGCCTCTTATATAAGGGTACTAATCCATGAGGGCTGGGCCCTTGTGACCTAATCATCTTCCAACAGCTGTACTTTTTAATACTATTACATTGGAGATTAGATTTCACTGTATAAACGGGGCAGGGAACTCACATAAATTTGCATTGTAGCACTTCCCTTTCAAATACTAAAATTGTTTTTGTCTCTTTTTTATCCCTAGCAATGTCTCAGGCTGTGCAGACAAACGGAACTCAGCCATTAAGTAAAACATGGGAACTCAGTTTATATGAATTACAACGAACACCTCAGGTAATATAAATAATAAGATAAATGGGGGGGGTAGCAGCTATGAAACCTATGTACGCTGGTATACTTTTTTAGAAAATGAAAGCTTAACTAGAACATAACAGTAATAATAAATTCATATGCAGGCAGTTCTGACTTATATGTATTTGACTGTTACTTCCTTTATTGCTTCAACAAATAATTTGTATGTTCTATACAAGCTTCTGTGTTAGGCAATAGGTGAATAGTGGTGAATAAAACAGACATACATGGTACCAACCTGTGAAGTTTATTGACATAAAAAAAGTGTTATGGATAAGTATAAGTATAAAAAGTAAAAGTGAAATACAGAAAGTGCTTTACATAGAGAGATTGAAACATAACAAGTACTTGATTTTAGTGTTAGTTATTATTGTAAATATAAATATATTTTACTTGAGCCCTTTATGGACAATATAGTTTCCATGTCTTTTTCTGTAGGATAATTAATCTTTATTCACATAAAGAGAACATCAGTGTATATCCATAATTACACATGTGAGAAGTTGTATAAAGGGCAAGTCCTTTGTGTTATAACAGGTTAATAAGAGTATTTTGAGGGACCAGTAGTTGGCTTAATGACTGTGTTGCTGGACTCCCATGTAGTTGACCGCGGTTCGAGTCCCAGAACTGGTGGCTTAAACTCATGTCAGGGGCGGCGTATGCATGCGTGCCTAAGATCCCAAGAGGAGAAGGGATTGCGGCGGGCCATCCCCCCGGGGGGTGATTTCTCGCTTTCTATCTCTCTGTCTGTCTCTGTCTGTCTGGTGAGCGCACATGCCCTATAGCAGGAGCAGGTTTGAAGGCAAAAAAAACATGCTTACACTGGACTCACTTTAAGTTTGAGGTGTCTACTAGATAGGCAGGCAGAGATACTAACTGGAGAGTCTGGACTAAATAGAAAATTAGGGGTTTTCAGCACATTTTAAGCAATGATGATGAATAAGATTACCGCAAAATGAGTAGATGGCCATACCCCATCCAGAGTTGCTTCAGCATGTACAAATTAGGCAGTGGTCAGGGAGCCAGTGAAAGAGACTGAGAAGGCACATCTCGAGAAAAGGAAGGGCAAACAGGAAATTGAGAGAAAGGATTCAAAACCTAAAGGAAGTAATTCAAGAAGGAAGATACTAATGTGTTTAACACTGCTGACGTATTAAATAGATGAAGATTGGAAAGGTATATATTAGGTTTGAGAATATGTGCTCGTGGGCTTGGAAAATAGAAAACTCACTTGATTGACAGATCATACTAATTGAAGGTTGAATGGAATCATGGTACATTCTTATCATTGGTTCATGTCCTGAACTAAGGAGATGATAATTTTGTCTATTTATGGTCCAGTAAGGAAGAATATGTGAAAAATGAATAGTCATACTTTCAGAGAAGTGTTGCTACACAGAGAGGCAGAGAAATGGAGTAAAAAACTGGGTGAGAATGTGGAATTAAGTTTCAAATTGTGTTTAGTGTTGAAAATGCAGATGTAGTGTCCTCTCTTTCTTCTTGAACAGCTAGGGGGCGTCATTCACATTTTACTATGTAGCATCCCCACGAGGACACTAATTTTCTATAAAATAGAGGTTATAGAAATCAAAATAAAAAATATATGGGGAGCTTGGGGCCCAGCAGTTAGCGTAATGGCTATGTCGCTGGACTCACACGTAGTCGACTGCAGTTCGTGTCCCAGACCCGGTGGCTTAAACTCACGCCGGGTGCGTGTGCGTGTGCGTGTGTGCCCAAGATCCCGAGAGAATGGGGGAGAAGGGATTGCGGTGTGGACATCCACCCTGGGGGGTGATTTCTCGCTTTCTTTCTCTCTGTCTCTCTCTGTCTGGTGAGCTCACGTGCCCTATAGCAAAAACCTCTCCAGAAAAAAAAAAAAGTATATGGGAGCTGGCAGGTGGCATGGTGGTTAAAGCACGGGACTCCCATATGACCAACCATGGTTCAAATCTCAGACCTGGCAGCTTGCATTCGTGACCTGGTGGTTTGCATTCTCACTCTCTCTCTATCCTTCTTTGATCAAATTAAAGAACAATAATAATAAAATAATTCTTTTTAAAAAAGAATTATTTTATTTGGTTTTTATCATTATTATTATTATTATTATTTTCATTTGACCAGGGTGAGACAGAAAGAGAGAGAGAGAGAGAAGAAACACGGGAAAGATAGCCACCAGGTCCAGGACTCAAACTGTAGTTGGCCATGGGAGGGAGTTGGGGGGGAGAAGCACCTTAACCACAACGTTACCTGATAGCCCCAAAGAAATAATTTTTTTTTAAAAGTGTTATGTAAATGTTATACTAAGTGAAGTGAAATATAAGTGTTATACTAAGTGAAGTGAAATATAGAAAGTGCTTTACGTAGATTGAAACATAACAGGCACTTGATTATAGTGGTAGTTATTATTATAAATATAAATATATTTTACTTGAGCCTTTTGTGGACAGTATGTATAGTTTCCGTGTCTTTTTCTGTAGGAAAAAGATAGTCATACTTTTCCATAAAAAGAAAGCATCAGTGTGATAAAGGAGAGGCAGTGGAGTGTTAGTAGTGTTAGTAGCATAGTGGAAGCCTCTTATTTCTGCCCACATTTTCCTTTTGAGCATCAACCGTACTGAAACTCCTCAGTCTGCAGCAGCTGGTGTTGGTGGCTTTAAAGTTAGGTAATGTTTCCCATACCAGCCGTGGAGAGGCTGGACAGTGGTGGTGATAAAGTGACTCACTAATCATCCTGCCGCACGGGATATGTGTCCTGTAATTCTGTACTGGAACTCCAAATGGATTTTTGTAGAGAATATTTTTAGGCATAACAATTAGATATTATAGTACATGTTATCAGATGTGTCATAATTTAAATCAGCCTGTGGCTTAGTCTGAGAACCTGATTACTTTGTACACAATTGCTGTGTAGACCAAGACTTTATCCAGTTCAGAAGTGATTTAAAAATGAAATTCTGTGAAACAAATTAGAGAATACTTTTATAAGACTCTTAAACTGTTTTAATAGGCAGCATGAAACCTTTAATATTAAAATGGTGTTATTTTTTAAGATAGCGTAACTCTTTGGGTTCATTTAGCTCTTAACTTTCTCACTTTGTAGGTAAGAAAATAATGTTAAATAATTACTTAGAATCATACGACTCAATATGACTAGAACTAGAACTTAAAGCATCTAATTTCAAAATCAGTGTTTTTCTGCTTTTGTTTTTCTTTTATTATAACAGGCTAGTTTCCCAGTGTTATCATTGAAATACATTAATATGTTAACTGTAGTGTGAGAATACAGAGCATTTGTATGATGCAGTGGTGGGGGAGCTAAAGAGAGTTGGAAATTATGATAGCTAAAACAAAAATTACATATAGTTGACAGTGGTGGCTTGATGATGTGTATGTCAGTGTTCATTTTTACTTTTTTCAGTACTTTTATGTTTGAACTTACCAATAATAATTAAAAAAATAAGTAGAGTTTAATGTTAAACTGACTGTCTTTACAGGAGGCAATAACAGATGGCTTGGAAATTGTGGTTTCGCCTCGAAGTCTACATAGTGAATTAATGTGCCCAATTTGTTTGGACATGTTGAAGAACACCATGACTACAAAGGAGTGTTTACATCGTTTTTGTGCAGACTGCATTATTACTGCTCTAAGAAGTGGGTATGTTGAAATTAATTATACTAAGTACTTAAATTTATACCATGATAGTGCTCTAAGTGGTTTGATAAGTACATTCATTGTAAGTATTTGATTGAGAACTGGATATTTTTCTGAAGTCTAGGTTTTAATTATTGGAGAATCTTTGTTTTCAAATATTTTGGTTTTATATAGTTTTAGAAGACTTACAGGGTGAGTGTTTTGAGGAAATGACATAACATGAAATGTTTTTTTAACTTATGTATATAAAATAATACCCTTAAAGCAGTCTTTCTTGTTTTTGTTTTTTTTTATAAGAGGTCTTTTCCCTTAGGGTATGTGTACTCGTCAGAAAGACAAAAACAGTAAGAGGGAAAGTGAGATATCACCCCCCCAGGGAGAATGGCAACACTGCAGCAGCCCCTTCTCCTCCATTCTCCTTGATACCTTGGGCATGCACACACACATGTCTGGCATGATTTTGAACCCACTGGGTTCGGGATTCGAACCGCAGTTGGCTATGTGGGAGTTCAGTGATGTAACTGCTATGCCATCTGTTGGCCCCAAAGTATTATTTCAATAAAAGAATTGGTAAGAAATAAATTAGGCCTAGCTGGTGGTGTGGGATATAAGGCAGCTGGATTTCCCAAGGCCATCTGTGCAGTTTGAGTGCCAGACCCAGCAGCTTGAAGAACATGCCAGGCACATGTGTGTGTACACAGATCCCCAGAGGAGTTCTAGAGAATGGATTGCAGCTTGGCCATTCCTCCTGGAGGGTGCTTTCTTGCAACTCTCCTGTCCCCGTCTGTGGTGAATGCACGTGCCCTGTAGCAAATTAAAAGAAAGAAAAGGAGATAGAAATTAATATATATTAGTGGGTAGTTTGTTTTTATATGGTATGGATATCAGAAAGAGGAAGTAAAAATTAGGAGAGATTTCTGTTTTCTAAAATGGTTATATAGAAATCATCATTGGTAGAAGTACTCAGATTTTTCTCTTAGCAAGTGGTACAGAGTATCATAGGCTTCCAAATGTTTTAAAATCCGAGTAGGACTTTAAAGGAGATTCAAGTTAATCAGTGTAAGTTTCTGACTTAGTAAAGGTACCAGAATAAAGATAACCGTCTGGAAGCTGGATATTTTTGTCTTTAGCCCAAGGGCACTGGCATTATTTACATTTTCTTTCCTTTTTTTTTTTTTTTTTTTTTTAATTTAGCAATAAAGAATGTCCTACTTGCCGGAAAAAGCTGGTTTCCAAAAGATCGCTAAGGCCAGACCCAAACTTTGATGCACTCATCAGCAAAATTTATCCAAGTCGTGATGAGTATGAAGCTCATCAGGAGAGAGTATTAGCCAGGATCAACAAGCACAAAAATCAGCAAGCACTCAGTCACAGCACTGAGGAAGGACTGAAGATACAAGCCATGAACAGGTATGGGAAAGAGGTGCAGAGAGGGCGGCAGTTTTTCCGAACACTTTATTAAATATCGAATTTACTTTTTGAAAAGGTAAATGCAGTAAAAACAGTAGTTAAGCATGATTGCCTTTTTTTGCTCTGTGTGTGTTTGCGTGCATGCATGCTTTTCTAGGCATAATAAAGTACTACTAGGTTCTCTCACATACCTGATTCTCCTTATACTTACTATTCTGTTTTTCTTCTCGTTTTTAGCAACACTCCTTGAAAGAGTTGTCTGTATCTATCTCCATTTTTTTCCTTAACCCTCACTCTAGTCAGACTTTCCTCATTACCTAGTTCCATCATATTGCTCTTATCAAAGTGGAGGTCACAGATAACTAGTCACAAATGGCTTATTCTTAGACCTCATTTACTTAGCAGCTGTTATGGTTTGGATAATGCTTTGGTCTCCAAAGATTCATGTTTTGGAATTGGGTCCACAATATAATGGTGCTGGGAGGTGATGAGGCTTAGAGGGTGGTGACTGGATCATGAAGGAGCCCACCTCATGAATGGATTGATGCTGTCTCCTCAGGGACAGAGTGAGTTCTAGTTCCTATGGGAAGGGGCTAATTCCTGCAAGAGCAGGTTGTCCTTAGAATACTCTCTGTGTCTGTGTGCCTGCTATCTGCTACTTCTGTCAGCTATATTGTAATACAAGCCAGCCTGTAGGCCTTTGGACTTTTCAGCCACCGGAATCATGAGTCAAATAAACCTCTGTTTTTTATAAATCACTCAGTCTCAAGTATTTCTGTTAGCAATGCAATAATGGACTAAGACAACAGCATTTGACACCATTTCTCCCTTTTTGAGTAGTTTTTATTACCTGGCTTGCAGGAATATATTCTTCTGGTTTCCTTTGTATGTCATTAAGTGGTCCTTTTCTAAGTTAGGTTTCATTTCAGTTGCCCTAACTCTTATTAAAGGTAGAATACCTCAGGGATTAGTCTGTCTCTTGATTATCTCATCCAGTTTCATGGCCTTAATTACCATCAATATGCTAATGACTTCCAGATTTATATATACATCCTGGACTAATCTGAATTTTAGACTCATCTTCTCCTGTACACCTGTCTAATAAGAATCTCAAACTTAACATGTTCAGTACTGTCTTTCCTGCTCATTTCAATCAGTGATAACTCCATTATTCCGCTTACTTAAGCCAGAAACTTTGAAGTAACCATTAAAAATATTTATTCATTTCCATTTGTTACTATTTTTTAATTTGACCAGAGAGAAAATAAAAGTGAGAAAGCAAGCTGCCAGGTCCAAGACTCAAACTGCAGACGTCCATGTGGGAATCCAGTGCCTTTAACCACCATGCCACCTGCTGGCCCCTAAATTTTTAAAATCATCAATGATTTCCATTCTTTTTGTTGTTGTTGTTCTTTTTTTAGAGAGATTTTTGCTATAGGGCACATGCGCTTGCCAGACAGACAGAGAGATAGAAATCGAGAAATCACCCCCCAGGGGGGATGGCCACGCCACAATTCCGTCTCCTCCATTCTCCTCTTGGGATCTTGGGCACGCACACACACATGCCCGGCGTGAGTTTAAGCCACCAGGTCCGGGACTCGAACCACGGTCGACTACATGGGAGTTCAGCGACATAGCCATTACGCTAACTTTTGGTCCCCAATGATTTCCATTCTTCTATACACATTGTAAATTTGAAGTTCCTTGCTTCGTTTTTAGAATTCTTGTTGCTCTGATAGGATTCTTCAGACTGATGTCTTTTCTTTCATAGTACTTCAGACCAAATTTTTTTTTCTTTTGTTTTTTGAGGAGGGTTTTGCTATAGGATGCATGCACTCACCAGAAAGACAGAGACAGAAAGCAAGAAATCACTCCCCAGTGGGGAGGCCATGCTGCAATCCCTTCTCCTCTTGAGATACTGAGCACGCATGCACACACACACACACACACACACACACACACACACACATGTGTGCCTACCATAAGTTTAAGCCTCCAGATCCAGGACTCGAACCACAGTGGACAAGTGTTTTGGGTATCCCCCAGAATTGAAATCCATGCAGAGTTTTCCCATTGTATGCATTTTCCATGAACTTCTATGAGACTTTTCATATTAAACTGATCTGCTGCTGTATTTATCAAAGTAAGATAAAGCATTAAATGTTGAATGTATTTAAAGAATTATATATTCTTAAGAGTTGGAAAGACTTTTGATCAGTTTATCCTTCTGTCAAGAACAGTAAAATTCTTTGCCAAATCCTTCACAGATAATCCTTTGGTTTTGCTTGAATACTTCGTGGGCGTGTGTGTGTGTGTGTGTGTGTGTGTGGGTGTGTGTGTGTGTGGACAGAAGATCCCCTTTTTATTCTTTGGCAACTTCTTTATATCTTCTGTACAGGTCTTCAAATTCACCAAGCATTCATCTCCTCAGGGCCTTTGAACTTAATTGCTCTCTCTTTCAGGAACCTCCTTTTTTTAGTTAACTTGCCCAGTGCTCCGTCAATTGTCTGCTGAGTTCCCATCATCCACCGTAGGGCTCCATACTTCCTTACCCTTCTGCCTCACTTTCCTCCACAGTGGGTATCACTCTGGGATGTGTTATCTGCCACACTAGACTGAGCTCTCTGTGTCAGTACCATTGACTTACAGCTCCACTATTATAACTGCTTAACTTAAAGTATCTGCTCAGTAAATAGTTTTGAATATGTAAATGTGAAAGAAGTTCTTCCTTTATATTGAATTAAAATTAAACTCTGGTGTGCCACAGTCTGGATCTGTCTTCTGTCAAAATAGTTGGATTTTATACATATTTCAGACCCTACTTCTACTAATTTTTTAAATGTTTTCATGTGGATCCATATTCTATTTTTTAAAATTTTTGCAGGGGAGATACAGTGTGGTTTTCTACAACATGCAGTGTGTAGTTACCAAATTCCAGATGTAGATATATTCATCTTCTTCACTGAACACTACATCAGAAGGTGTAGATTTACATTCTGACATACTCCTGAAGGCTCTGTCTTCATGTTCCTAGTGTGTTGTTCCTCACGTGACATTCAAGATGCAGCTTAGTGTCACGTCATTCTTAAAATGCTATACTGTCAGGATAGTGTGGTATTATAGATGGAATTTGATAGAGGATATAATAGGGTATTAATCTCTCTTATCGGAACATTAATCTTTAAATGTTGCCCCAAATTAATATGAACTCTTTCAGGGCCAGCAGGTGGAATGGTTTAAGGTGCTAGCTCCCACATGGTTGACCACAGTTTGAGTCCTGGACCCAGCAGCTTGAAACTCATGCTGGCATGTGTGTATGTGTGCATGCCCAAAATCCCATGAGGAGAATGGAGGAGAGGGGATTGTCGCATGGCCATCCCCCCTAGGGGGTGATTTATCACTTCCTGTCTGTGTCTGGCAAGCATATATGTCCAATAGCATAAATCTCTCAAATATTTAAAAAAAAAAATCTGTCACTTCCTTCCCCTTTTTTTGAAGAGCTGTGGGATAAAAACAAGTATGTTAGTAAATGAATTAGATCACTTTATTTTATGGCCAGCTTCCTTCCTCCCTCCCTCCCTCCCAGAGAGAGACAGAAAGAGGGAGGGAAAGTGAGAAAGCAAGCCTCCAGTTCTGGGACCTGAACCACTGTTGGCCTTGTGGGACCACATGTGCCCTGCTGGGCTTCTTAAATCTTAACTGTTAAACTTTAACATTAAATTTACCATCTTACCATTTTTATTTGTAGAGTTCGGTTAAGTACAATGATGTTACTGTGCAATTAATCTCCAGAACCATTTGGCTTTATTCTTTGCATCTTATGAAACTTAAATGATGTACCTGTTAATAACTCAACTGTTTTCCCGTCTTCCAACTCCTGATAACCATTCTGCTTTTTGCTCCTGTTAAATTGAATACTTTAGGTATTATAGGAGTGAATGCTTTTGTGACTGACTGGCTTACTTCATTTAGTGTAATGTCTTCAACATGTTCATCCATATTGCCACAAGTGATAAGATTTTCTCCCTCTGTAAGGCTAAATAATATTCCATTGTATATATTTATTGGGTTGGCAGGAAAGTCATGACACATTTTTGCTTAGAAAAATATGTCATGACTTTTCTTGTTTTTCTTCTATTTTTAAAATATTTAATTTTGTTTATTATTATTTTTTAATTTGACCAAAGAAGACAGAGCATGAGCTTGAGAAGGGGAAGGTGAGAAAGCAAGCTGCCAGGTCCAGGACTGAACTGCAGTCAGCCATGTCGGAGAGTCCAGTATCTTAACCACCATGCTACCTGCTGACCCCCATCGTGACTTTCCTGATAATCTATGTTTTTGAATCACAGTTTTGCCATTTAATGTATTAATCATCCCCTCTTAGTTTTGAAATGAACTATTGATAATGTAAGGAGGATTTTATGTTTAATTTTTGAAAAGCAAGAGTTCTTGAGCTTCTTTCCTGACCAGTGGGCTATTATTTCGTTGTTTTGGCAATAAACGTTATAATGATACTATTCTTAGAAGTTCATGTCATTCTTTCACATTTCTTTTCTCTTGTTTTCTTTTTTAAATCATATATCCTTGCTTTTTTCTTATATATACAGATAGAAAAATAGTATGGTAGAAATAATCTGTTTAGTGTCCTGTCCTGGCTTTGCTTCTGGCATTTACTGGCGGGATAATTGTAGGCATATTATTTAACCTTACACTTTATTTCTTCAGTAAAAGTAAGTGTTAACTCCCTAATGGGTTGTTTGGACTTTTTAAGATCATAAACATAAAGCGGCTTGCCCAGTAATTGGTTTTAAGTGAATGAACTTGTTATAAAGTTGCTTCTATATCCAGTTGCTGGTTAAATATAGGTACCATCCTATTTTCCTCATAAGAATAATTTTACACTGCAGTAGCAGTCTTGAAAGGAGGTGAGCAGGAAGTGCGTACCATTTATTTTTTAGTGTGTTTCTTTAAGAATTTCTAACTAAGGAGGCATAAATACCTTCTCTCAGAACTTTTACATTTCATATCTGAACCGTGCCCTTTCTTTTCCTTTTCCTTTCTTTCTTTCTTTTTTTTTCTTTTCATTTCTTTTTTTTTTTCAGTTTTTGCCAAAGGGCATAATTTGCTCAGTGGAGAGGGACAGAGAGTTAGAGCCGATGAGAGAGAAAGGGAGAAATGAACCCCACCCAGGGAAATGACCGCTCCACAGTCCTTTTTCCTCGATTTGCCTCCTAGGATTTTGGGCATGCTCACTCATGCATGCAACCAGCATGAATTGAAAGCTGCCAGGTATGGAACTCAAAACTCTGTTCAGCCATGTGGGAGTCGGCACCTTTACCACTATGCGACCAGCTGGCCCCAAATCATACCTATGTTTAAACTTAAAATCTCATAACAAAATGATCAAAATATATTGGATTGTTGGAAAAGTTGATGCATTTTTCTATGCAAAGACGCATCATGACTTTTCCGACAACCCAATAAATATGGATCTACCAGTAATTTATGTTTCTTTTGTTCCATAAAGAAAATTATTCCATGAAAAGAAGTATTTATTTTAGGAATTGGCAGGTGGTATGGTGGTTGAGGGTGCTGGATTTCCACATGGCCAACCAGACGTGGCTGCTTGCTTTCTCACTTTCCCTCTCTCTGTCCCTCTCTGATCAAATTAAAATGAATGAATACATGAATGAATGAAAGAAAAAGAAAATAATTATTTTTTTTAAAAATACTTAATCATTTAAATGATTGCCTATGTATATAAGATTTTTCTAGATCTTTCAGGGACATGAAAGAAACAATGCCATTATCCAACATAGAGCAAATTCAGTAAGATTTTTTTTTTAGGATTATCTATGATTTAATCACAGGCACGCTTCAGATTTGATGCTCTGAAAGCCTAAATAGAAATTGTATGCATTTTTCTTTAATTAGATTACAGCGAGGAAAGAAACAACAGATTGAAAACGGTAGTGGAGCAGAAGATAACGGTGACAGTTCACACTGCAGTAACGCATCCACACACAGCAATCAGGAAGCCGGCCCTAGTAACAAACGGACCAAAACATCTGACGATTCCGGGCTTGAGCTCGATAACAATAATGCAACAGTGGCAATTGATCCAGTAATGGATGGTGCTAGTGAAATTGAATTAGTATTCAGACCTCATCCTACACTTATGGAAAAGGATGACAGTGCGCAGACAAGGTAAGTGTGTGCTTTTGTTTCAGTTTCTCTGAATTCAGAATGTCTGATTTGGAGTTAAAAGGTAATTCTGCATAAGAAGTAGGAATAGTATTCGTCATCTTTTTTTATTATCAGCACTCAGTTTAGATGTACAAGGTGCCTGGATTGTTGTTTTCTTCCTCATGTGCTTCTCACCCAACCTGCACATCTGAAAGGGATGGCCCTCCTAGGTAGAGGGGGAAAGGGACGTTCAGAGTTCTTAATGATTCTAGGGTGCCTGTGGGCTCTAAAATTTATGCTGGCAAAGATGACTGCTTTATCACTGTATCTCTAGCACACAGCCTACCGTCGAAAACCGGTAAGTCTCAAATATTTGCTGAGTCAGTTAATTGAATGCTATAGCATGCTTTAAAAAACTCAAGATGAGATTTCATTGCAGTCTGAAAAACCTGAAATGTTCATTCTTAGACAGAAATTTGTTCAAGTTCTTACTATCCCTCTTACTGCTGCAGTCAGCAGATTCTCATCGGTGGAGTTAGGGGGAGATGTGTTGTTCCTTTTTCTCCTTAGCACTTTGTGTGTTTCTATTAGTTTTTGTCAGTTTATGTCATTTTTTTAAAAATTATTTTATTTAACTTTATTTATTATTATTATTATTATTATTTTCATGAGTTTTGCCAGAGAAAGACCGAGAGGGAGAGAGAGAAAGCCGCCAGGTTCGGGACTTGAACTATGGTCAGCCATGTGGGAACTCCAACACCTTAACCACCACACCACTTGCTGGCCCCAGTTTATGTCATGTTTTACATAAGATAAGACAGGTAGAGCTCTCATGGCCTGACAGTCAGGTAGTGAGCGTGTACTTCCCCCTTGTACCTTTCCATAAGAAAGTTTTAGATTTTAGAGTTACATATTTCTGATATTAGTTTGTGATAAATACTATATATTCTATATACTTCTAATTATCTATTGTAATTAGTATATTCTAGAAATTAAAATCTTAATTATTCTTCCAGATACATAAAGACTTCAGGTAATGCCACTGTTGATCACTTATCCAAGTACCTGGCTGTGAGGTTAGCTTTAGAAGAACTTCGAAGCAAAGGAGAATCAAACCAGATGAACCTGGATACAGCCAGTGAGAAACAGTATACCATTTATATAGCAACAGCCAGTGGCCAGTTCACTGTAAGTATTTACAATGGTAGAATCTTTTTTAAGGAGCATGTTGACCGACTGAGTAGCAAGTGGTGGAGGGTGGCCTATCAAGACCGGGCAGAACCCCAAAACACTGAGAAAAAGGAATTACACCAGGGCAGTTACCTTTCTGATACCTTTTGTTTGCTGTGCTATAAATGGTGCAAGTGCCAAGACTTACTCTGTTTATGCATTACTAAGTTAGTTAGTTAGTTAGTTTAGGTTTTTGCCATAGGTGTGTGTGCTCACTGGAGACAGAGAGAAAGAAAGTGAGAAATCACCGCTCAGGGGGCATGGCCACTCTGCAGTCCCTTCTCCTCCATTCTTGAGATTTTGGGCACACACATGTGCATACCCTGTGTGATTTTCAAGCTGCTGGGTCCGGGACTTGAACCGCTTTTGACCATAAGGGAGTCCAGCACTTTAACCACCACACCACTTACCGGCCCCCTAAGATTTATTTTTAAAAGATTATAGTGGGCTGTCATGTTTTGTTCCATTTCACCATTGTGCTTTGTGCCATTTTTCTAATTTTTTTCTTTTTCTTTGGTTTTAGGTATTAAATGGCTCGTTTTCGTTGGAATTGGTCAGTGAGAAATATTGGAAAGTGAACAAACCCATGGAACTTTATTACGCACCCACAAAGGACCACAAATGAGCTTTTAAAAAAAATTCTGAGACTGAACTTTTTTATAGCCTATTTCTTTAATATTAAAGATGTACTGTCATTACTTTTATGGACAGATCTTGGATATGTTGTTTAATTTTCTTTCTGAGCCAGACTCGTTTACACTATTAGAAACTTTTCCCCTTAATTTAAGATTTCCTTTTTGGAAGGATTGCAGTTATCCCAGTACTTTTTCTTTCCTTTAAAAAAATATATCTAAGTCATATGTATCTAAGTAGTTCCATTTGGAGCACCCTTTTGACCCAGGAATTTTTCATAGTTCTGTATTCTTAAGCAGATTTACTTGGCCATCCTTTTCTCTCGCCCCTCAAAAATTTTTTAGGCCTACAGAATGTTAAATAATATGTATGCTGACTCCCCCCCCAGAGTCTTGTATATTTGTAGTTTTCTATATAAACTAGTATCTTCATGAAGACCAAGGCTCAAATTTACTGTGCTTAAAACAATTCTCATAGGATTATTATTTTCATGGTATTTTCTTCCATAATATCTCATTTTAAAAAGAGGTTCGTTATGAACTTAGTGTCCATTGTCATGCAATGTTCTCTGTGTGTTTTTGTTGTTCTTTTCTGTTTTTTTTTTTTCCCTATAGTTACTGAAATTCTGGTCCTGGGGAAGAGAGTCAAACAAAATCTTAAACTGAAATTCTAGTCCTGGGGAAGAGAGTCAAACAAAATCTTAAGTTCTGTGAGAACTTAGCTCATTTACAGATTTTGCTGAAGAAAGAAAAATTGGTAGTAATATGTAGTCTTCAGTATATATTTAAGAGTTTTTTTGTATTAGTTCTACTGTCACTTCAGTTCTTTTATTATGTGTGTTTGATGTTTTTCCTATTAAAATATCTGAGATATGGAGATATTTTGCACTTTAGCTTTGATGAAAAGTACAAGATATGTTCAAAGCTTCCCTAAGTCTTTTCTTATTGGTGACTACATAAAGTTCAAGAATAACATGGCACATAGAACCAAGAATGGAAAAAAAAAGTTTGCTTCTGTTTGAAAGTATATTTAGCATTGTGGGTTGTCATATCAGTTTATAAATCTGGTGCTCTGCTAATGACACTGTAGAAGCAGGTGCGTGGAGTTCAAACCCTGCCTTGATAATATAGTGAAAGGTAATTCTGTACAAGAGTGACAGCCAGTGGGATGAAGTCATCATATTCTTTTTAATGTAGCTTTACATCAAGGGACAGTATTGGGTGGTGGGGAACCAAAACGTTTTATGCTGACAGGTCAGAAATAAGATTGACTTGTGTGTTATTTTTCATCCCTGTCCTGATTCTAGGTGTTTCCAGGTTTCTATTATCACAGTATTTACAGACATGTTTGCATTGAGAAATTAACCCCAAAGGTTTTTGATAGGAGGAAGTAGACCTCCAGTACCATTGTAGCTAAAGTCTGTCTAGTCAGTGTAAATATTGATCTGTCCATTTTTGACATATTGGGGCCAGCTTGATGTTTTAAATCTTCAGCCCATTATGAAAATTTAAAGCTTACTCAATTTTTTACCATTTTATTGAAAAAATTTGAAACATTTTTTTTGGTAATCTGTGCCATGAAATTTGCAAACCACCAAAAATCAAGGAAACTTTTATATTTGATTCCTTTTCTGGTGTAATGTTAAGATGTATAGATTATTAATGCATGTCCACTGAATATAATCTTGGTTTGTGATAAAAACTGCTTAGGTTTTATTGGTGACATTAGATTAGTGGTTGCATTAAATAACAAAATTTCCATGTGATTATTAATTGAAATTTTGTCTTTAAGCAGAAAGTTATTTGTGAATATAAGCTTTGTGCTTAGAGAATGTATGTGTTTTTATCTGTCAGTGTGGGAGGATATAAACTGTTTGCATCATTAGTGAAGTCACTGTGTAGTCCTTTGCGAAATATAATTATAGATATCTAATAGAGAGTTGAGTGTATGTATGTGTGTATATGGGTGTGTGTGTTTTGGGATGGGGGAAGGCAAGTTGAGCATCACTACCAGCCAAGGTTCCATAAAGTAATTTCTTTAATATCTCAGTTGAGGAAAAAAAGACCAAATGTGGTAAAGGCCTTTGGATACATCATCATTTTAAAATTTCTTATGGTACTATAATACATGTTACTAAAGTGCCCTTTGAACCATTTTTAAGTTTGCATTCAGTATTAGGTGGATTTATAGCATCGTGCCATGATCACCACTATTCTGTTCTAAATCTTTTTAATCATCCTAAGTGGTCTCCACACGATAAATAAAAACTCTTATTTCCTCTTCTCCCTAGCCCCCGATAATCTCTAGTCTACTTTCCTTCTTTGAATTTGACTCAATTGAGTCATCCAGAGTTTTCAGGGTTCGTCCGTGTCATGGCGTTGTATCACACTTCCATTCGCCTTTCTTCGGCTGAACACTGCTGTGTGTTTAATCCCACGTTTTGTTTATGCATTCATCTGTTAATTGGCACTGAGGAAGATGGATGCTTCTTCCACTGTAAATAATGTCATGAACATTTACTGTACAAATATTGTTGAGTGCCTGCTTTCTACCCTTCAAGTAGAGAAGAGGTATCTGTAGGAGTGGAATTGCGGGATCCTATGTTAATTTTATGTTAAATTTTTTTAGCCACTCCAAACTATTTTAATTTTACACACTGACTACAACATTTTATGTTAAGTTTTCTTCACATCATCATCTTTTTTTTTTTGCTAGAGGGCATGTCTGTTCTCCAGAGTGAGACAGAAAGCACCCTCTGTGGTGTGCAATTCCTTTTCTCCACCCCCACTCGCTCTTTGAGAGATTGGGAATGCGTACACACATGCTGCTGGGTCTGGGCTCAAACCATAAGGTCAGCCATGTGAGATCTGACTGTCAGAACCACCAGGCCATGGAGCCAGCCCTTATTTTCTGTTTTTCAAAATAGCTATTTAATGAGCGTGTCCTTTCATTGTGGTTTTGCTTTGCATTTTCCTAATGGTTGTGACGTTGAACATCTTTTCACCTATGTATTGGCTATTTTCATACCTGCTGTAGAGAAATGTGTATTGATACCTTTCGCTTTGTCATTTTATTTGATGTCTTTTAGGTTTTTAGCCCTAGGTTGTGTACTTGCCAGAGAGAGGGGCAAAGTGAGAAATCATCCCTGGGAGAATGTTTATGCCCTAGTCCCTTCTCCTCCATTTTCCTTTCAGGAATATAACCTGGTGTGATTTTCAAGCTGCCAGGTTTGGGACTTGAACCACGGTTGGGCTTGTGGCAATCAGTGCCTTAACTACCACGCTACCTGCTGGCCCCATCTTTTGCCCATTTTTAATCGAGTTGTTTGTTGTTGAGTTCTTTATATATTCTGGGTATGGATGGATCCATTATCAGGTACACTGATTTGCAGATATTTTCTCCCATTTTCTCTTTTTAGGTTTTCCCTATTGATAATATCCTTTTATGTGTGATTTTTAATTTTGGTGAAATTCAGTGTTGGTTTTTTTTATTTTCCTCTTTGGCTTGCTTTTGGTGTTTTTTCCAAGTAGTCATTGCCAAATTCAGTGTCATGGAGTTTTACTGTTTAATTTTGTAGTTTTAGCACTTACATTTATGTCTGTGATCCATTTTCCTTTTTTTTTTTTTTTTTGCTATAGGCCACGTGCACTCGCCAGAAAGAGAGAGAAAGCAAGAAATCCCCCCCCCCCCAGGGGGGATGGCCACTCCGCAGTCCCTTCTCCATTCTCCCCTCAGGATCTTGGGCACACATGTCTGGCGTGAGTTAAGCCACCGGGCCTGGGACTTGAACCATGGTCGACTACATGGGAATCCAGCAACATAGCCATTATGCCAATTGCTGGTCCCCATTTTGCATTTTACACGGTGTCCTAAAAGTCTAGTCCTAACAAAGAGGCTTACGAAAAGGGTGAAAGGTGGGGAAAGGAATGTCTGTAGAGGGTTAGAGCATGTACATGGACACCAGAGAGACAGAGACAGAGAAGCACCCTCCACAGTGCGTGGTCGCCCTGCCATCCCTAGTCCTCAGGATTCTAGGCATGCATGCATGTGTCTGGAATGTTTTTGAGTCAACCAGGCAAGGGACTCAAACTGTGCTTGCCATATGGCTTCTGGCTCCCCGGTCCAGTATGTTAATAAGTAGGCAACTGAGACGACCTGTACGGGGCTTTGGAAAGCTCCAGCATATTCTTGAGAATCTAGAAGGCCACAAGCATTTGCAAAGCTATTTGCATGCCCAAGAAAAAGAACATAAGTAAGCACTAATCCACTTGTTGCAAACCTTGAGGCTCCGTGCAGTCGGAAAGTGGAGGGTTAAGGTAAACTGCGTGTTGGAGCGTAGAGTGCATATTCTAACACAGCACTTCAAGGCTGAGGGAGTTACTGGTTTAAGGCAATTAAGAAATTTGCCCAGTTGTCGTTTGGACACTAAGCTAATGAAGCAGGTTTTGCTGGTCACACAGCAAAGAACGCATATATTACAGAATTAGTCCACAAAGGCCGCTAAACAGTAAAAGACAGCAGACCCTGGAGAAGTGAAGGCATTCTGATTTCCAGACTTGCTGCCTTGTGTTAAAAGTATATTCAACAGGAGATTCTTTTTTTTTTTGAGAGTTTTGTGGGTTTTTTTTTTTCCCCGCTATAGGGCGCGTGCGCTTGCCAGACAGAGAGACATAGAGACAGAAAGCGAGAAATCACCCCCCAGGGGGGATGGCCACGCCGCAATCCCTTCTCCTCCATTCTCCTCTCGGGATCTTGGGCATGCACGCACACACGCGCGGTGTGAGTTTTAAGCCACTGGGTCCGGGACGCAAACCGTGGTCAACTCTATGGGAGTCCAGTGACATAGCCATTACGCTAACTGCTAATTCCCTCAACAGGAGATTCTAAGATATGTAAAGATGTAGAATTAATTGTACGTGAGAAAGATTCAGATGTTGAACTTAATGTGAATGCTTTAAATCAGCTTTTATAAACATATTCAAATAACTAAAATCAGCCATGTCTAAGGAACTAATTATAAGAGAAATGCCACTAGACAAATTTTTTTTAAAAAAATAGAAATTTGTATTGAAAGGGATCAGCAGGTGGCATTGTGTTTAAGGTGCTGGACACTCCCACATGGCCATGGCCAACCATGGTTCGAATCCTGGACCTGGTGGCTTGCTTTCTCAGTTTCCTCCCCCCCGCCCCCCCGTCAAATTAAAATGAATGAATGAGTGAATTTTAAAATTCAATAATTTTTTTTTTTTGAAGAGGTTTTTGCAATAGGGCACTTGTGCTCGCCAGACAGAGAGACAGAAAGCGAGTAATCACCCCCCCCCC